TGCCTGATGGTACCCAAACTATGTGCTAGAAGTGCAACTGTATTCAGCTGCCCTGAACCTCACTTGCCTCCTTCAGGTACATTTGGGGAAGAGAGTGGAACTCTCAGTCACTGCTTTCTAGGATGCTTGTGGTCACTGTGCAGAAATAAGAGTTAATGGCTCTTATTATCTCAACAGAAACTACAAGAAAGGCTGCAACCTCAAAAGGAAGGTAAGAAATTATTAAATGCACAAAAAATAAAACAATGAACCTCTTCATTCACAGTATAATATTGCCTTAGGTGTAGTTAGAAAACTCTGTCTTGTGTGCACGCACACCCATATCCTGTATAGATTCCTCAGCAGGTGCATGGGATTTCAGGACACATGCACAGAGATACACACAGAGAACAATATCCAGTCTTGGAAAAGAAGATCTCATTTGCAAAGCTCTGTGAAAGCATGTACTGAAGCACATGAAGCCCTGGGGTGGGGCAAACTGACAATGTTTACATTTTCCTCACCCTAGATAAAACCAGAGAGAAAGAGAAAGAATAAAGAAAAAGGAGGAGACTTGGCCCCACCAATGTTTAAATCCCTAATTTAGAGTCATGGGAAATCTTGCATTCATCAGAATGACTAGCTGTACTGATTGGAGAGGAATCAGAGGAGCCTGAAGTTCCCCATGCAGAATTGAGCTTGCCTTCCTAAGCATTTTGAGAACAGCTGTCCTAAAGCATTGCTTAAATGCAGCTAATCTGAGTAAAGTAATAACAGCTATGTTTAGCATTCACTTTGTAGGGAATTCATAGCCAGCTCAGTTGCAAAATGGTGTTATTATAATGTACATAGTTAAAAAAGAACCTTTTAAAGGAAAAAAAAAAACCTCATTTACTTTAAATGAAATATATTGATGAGGACATAATATTTCACAGGAAGTTGTTTCTTTATCAATAAGCACCATGGTAAGTGCCATGACAGCCCCATTGTCCCAAAGTTTATTTTAATCACAAAAGATAGTATCTTGAACACGTAAAACAGAAATCCACACAACTTTACATTGAAGCCACAAGAATTGAGTTTAAAAATGGCTCTTAAAATGCTTTTATATTTTATACTTTGGGTATTTTTTGCTCCCAAATTTTTAAATTGAAAACTGTCCTGTTGTTGTAGAAGACATTAAGTTCAAATTACATCAGTTTCCATCCAGTCAGTAGTGGCTGCAGCAGGTAGCAAAATTTATTCCCCACTCTCCGTTTAATGTGTGTTACACAATACTCACACTAATGGGCTATTACAGGAACTTACATTCCCAAACAATGAGCAAGACATAGGCTGAACAAGGATAGAGGAAGATAGTACATGTCCATTGTTCCCTGTATTTGCCTGTATATATTTTAAAATTAGGGACAAGGCTCTATTATGTCTTATGGGGGATCTCTTTGGACATGAGCCCAGAACAGATACCTGGAGATACCTAGGACATTACTAGGTTTACCATTTTAAAAAGGCGGAGAACATTTCTTATTCCATTCCATTCCCATTGTCCTACTAAAGAACTATTATCAGACTATTGTATGTGTATCTGAAAGAAGTCCCAGTGGATATTTAGAAAAAACTCGCCTGCAAATATTTACTATTTACTCAATAGGCCTGGACAGCTCTGACCACAGAGTAAGATATGCAAAGCTGCCACCCTTTTGTGTCTTCATAAGATGTGAAGGTATGAGGCATATTTATTATGTGCCAGAGTTCCATGCATGCATTGCCAAGCATTGGCTTCGCCCCCCTCAGTTGTCTTGCTGCCTCTCTCAGATTCAAACAGATTCTGTTTTATCCTCAACCCAACAGTAATTTGATAAAATATGAACCAATAAATACAAATTATATTGATTGTTTAGAGGTACCTTTCCTGTTTCCCCAGGGGCTGCTGCTGGTTGCTCATCTGAATGAAATTCTTATTTATCATAGTGACCAGCTAATTAACAAGATTGAATTAACCATATTTAGATCTCCATAGTCTTGGAGTCTTTTCTATCCAGTTACAATTTGCCAATACCGTAAATACAATATATCAGCCTTCCTCTTATCTGCTTCCCTCTGGGTATACTCTATGAATTCCTGTCACTGTGACCAATGTATGTGCTACTACTACCTACATTAATTACTATGTGGAGGTAACAAAGCCATTTCTAATTTTAGTTTTCATGATTATTTCATTCTGCCAAAGAACTTGTGTGATAAAAAATAAGGCACTATCAATGTAATCATGGCCTCTTTCATTTGCTAGATCCCCTTTTGTCATGGAAACATGACACAGCTCAAAGAAATGTCACTAGTAAAGTATGTTTCTTCCATTGTCTGTGCCTTTTCTTGGATAGACTGAAAGTTCCTCAAAATACTGACAGAAGCCCAAAACAACAGCCTTACCATTCAAAGCTATCAAAAGCTCCTAGTCTGTAATTAAGTTCAATATCATACCAAGCCACAATTTGCTTAATCATAATTTACTGGGGGAAAAAACACAACTGGCTGGATTCACAAATGCACATGCAAAGCCATGAATCATGATTTACAAGCCAGAATTGCTGGGCTCATACAACATAATAAACCAAGAAACCACATTATGGTTTCTTCTTAGCATAAAGTGTGTATCCAGCCTATGTGTGAGTATAATTGTCTGATGTGGGGAGAAGAGATCCCTTCTAACAGATCTTCTTTAAAAAGCAGAAATTCCTGACAATGAGAACGGACAGAGTAGGCTACTGAGGTGCTTTCCTTTTCCTGAGACTCAAATGTTCTTTTGGGTCAGCTTCCTAAAGATTTAATCTGTGACAATGAATGTGGTACTTGCGGTCATGTCAAGGATTTTATCAAGGATGGAAGGGAGAAGGAAGGAAGGAAGAAGCAGAGGAGCCAACCATGTTAGGACTATGGATGGAGATGAAGTTGAACCCATTTCTTTTCTACAATCCTGGAATAAAAATCTTCCACACAAACAGTGTAAGGAAAAAAGCTCCCATCACCATATCTGTATTCTGGAAATTTGATATCAGTGGTTAAGCTCTACCTTTGGCCTTAGCTCTTTATTTTGCTTATCAATGCAATTAAATTCGTTTAGTTCCAGTTTGTAGTATTTTATGTTTCAAATTATCTATGGCTGACCAATCATCTTTCCATATGGTAGCTATACGCCCTGTTGCATATAAGGATCTGAATTTATATACCTGCTACGCTGACAGCGGACAGCGCTGGGTTTAGTATCCTGCCGTATAAACACGGCCTCTAGCTTCCGGATGCTATGGATAGGTTCCAAACCACCAGTAAGGAACCCAGAAAGGGAAACTACCCGTGCAGCATCTTCCTCTACATGTATCACCTGGTCAGTAAGAGGAGTCACAACCGGAAAACCTGCTTCCACAGGTAAGTCATCTTGGCCAGATCACAGTGACCTTGAGAATCCTACTTCGTTGTGATCAAGAATTTAAGGCTTGTATGTTTTGTTTTGTTTTGTTTTTTAAGGTTTGGCATTTCAATTTTGGTCTCTGCATTTTTAATTCTGGCAGAGATAGTGAGGACTTGAAAGTCTTCAGACAGGCTTCTCCTGCATTTTGCTGCTATGGTGGCTTAATTCTGACCCTTGCAAATGTCTGTTTTAGGTTTTCTATATTTGTTCACACTGATATTCAGCTTATTCAATCATTTCCATAGTTATTGTGACTAAATACATAGCAAGCCAATCAGTCTTAAAGTGTAATAGCACTTTTGTCTTCTCAGCAAGGCTATCTGTTAATACCAGACTATTATTTTTCTTTAGGTATCAGACTGGATTTTCTCCAATGCAAAGCTGTATTTTTGTTATGGATTGGTTGGAAGAACTCACTTTTAAAAACAGAATTCATGTGCAAAGAATGCAACAAGAAATATAAGAAAACATTTGGTCACAATTTCTTATCTTAACAATATTAATGTAACCTACAGTTATTTAGAATTCACACACAATTCACACAAATACGTAGATAGTAATTATATATGCACATATTTTAAGAAGTACAATGGTAATATTTTATCCATTTGTGACCAGAATTAAAGTTTGGCATCTCAGCTTTCAAATGCACTGAAACCAGGGACTTAGGAATGCAACACATTTCAAGTATATATCACAGTGATAACTTTGTACACTGGTCACACGTTGCCTTTGGAGAACCTCTGCTAGCAACTGGCCAGAACAAATCGTTTCCATTTAAATAAGCCAGTGCCTGGTATCTTGCCTTTTGCATCACAAACCATTTCCAACAAAAACCCAATGATCTGTTAAAAACTACTTTTTGCAGTTTGAACCACTGTATTATTTTCTTTTGCAAAGAAAAAGTTGTTATAGTTTGTTGTTGTTGCTGTTCCCATATACAGGAGTTTCATAGGGATTTCAAATGTGAGGAGAATAAATATAAAGCCTTTCCCTTTAAGTTCACTAAAAACCACTAAGAACATAACATTTTCAATATACCTCACAGAAATTCTTCAAAATACAGGAAGTATTTTCATGGTAGGGTGAGAGGGTTACATCGTCACATACTTTACATTACTTCTACACAAATCTACTTAATCACTTTGATTAGACAAATATCAGTAACATACAGTAAACATTATACATTTCACAAGACATCATACAAAATGTTTACAATCCAGTACTGCCGCATTTGGAGGAGGGGATGGTATGAAAACTTACTTACCATTAATGTATTTCATACCAAAAATTAAATGCAATTATAAAATTAGTGTCAGATCTGATTATACTATTGTGCATATTTCGGCTCAACTTCTAATGTTTCCCCTTAGTGTATAGACCTTTCTCATTGATTGAGATGTCTTTGTACATGGCAATAGGGTTAAGCAATTATTAGTCAATTAACATTTTGCCAATTGAGAAATCTATTTTTAAAAACAAAGCTTGAGTCCTTGTTTATAGAACTTGGGGAAGGGGCTACTACTTAATTTTAAAAAATCACTTAGAATAAAATTTTAAATGGTACATTTGAGAAAAAACACATTTTTGAAATCATGATTTTCTTTTGCTTTCTCTCATTTTCTTCTCCCATGGAGCAGCGGTCTTTGTTTTACAATGCCTCTGCAGTAGTGTCTGAAGAGACTGACATAGTCACTTTAGCAATCTTAACTGTATTTTTAATGCATCTTTCAGCAGCCTTGTGGACATTGCCTGGATTGTTAGCATGTCTGTGCTGGCAGTCAGACTCCAAACTATTATCAAGGGGTTGTGCAGTCCCTTCACAAGATGGAAACATGCTTCTGAAAGCATGTCTCAGGTCCTTGCTCCTGAGAGCATAGATAATTGGATTCACTGTAGAATTCAGCAGACATAACATACTACAGAAGGCAAAGATAGTCTTGACAAGCTTGTTCATTTTCCCAAAAACATCATACAACATAATAGCAAGTAGGGGACCCCAGCAGATGATCAGAACCACAAGAATGAGGACTAAAGTTTTGGCTAACCTAATGTCCATACGTGTTTGTTCTGGCCTAGTGATCTGCTGCACTTTACCGTCCCCTGAAGTATGAATTATTATGCTCTTTTGAGTTCCACGTTGGAGCATCCTAATAGCATGGCTATGAGCTTTCCAGAGTATATACATATAGGCATAAACAATAAAAAGCAAGAGTACAGTGGTGACCCCAATCCAGAACAACAGATAATTTTCATCAATTAGAGGAAATATATCTGAGCAAACAGAATTGAGCTTTTTGCAGTTCCAACCAAGCAAAGGGAGAACAGCTATTACAATAGCTATGGTCCACATCACACAGAATGCTACAACAGCCTTGGACCTAGTAACAATCCTTTTGTAAGAGAGGGGCCTGTGTATAGATATGTATCTGTCTATTGCTGTGAGGAAAAGACTGCCAACTGAAGCAGTGAATGAGGCTGTAACTCCACCCAATTTGAAAAGGAACACGTTAGGACTATCTTTCCGATGGAAAACATGGAAGTCAACAAAACTGTAGACAAAAATTACACTGCCAAGGAGATCAGCTACTGCCAGGCTGCTAATGAAATGGTAAGAAGGCCTGCAACGAAGGCTTCGAGATTGCAGGATGACAATTAAGACCAGAAGATTTTCTAGAACAGTAAAGGTGCCCAGGGTAAGGGACAGGACTGCAATGGCCAGCTGCTGACTAGGGTTCAGAATCATGAAGCATTCCATGTCCATAAAGTTATCTCCACACTGTATATTCTCCTCATTCTCCTTAAATGGGGACAAGGTCTTGTTGTAAAAATCTGTAAGATTGATTTGATCCGATGGGTGTGCACCTAAAGAGGCATCTTCTCCTGCAGTCATTTTGGGATGGAAATCACCTCGAAAAGAAGACAGAGGAAATTTCTGTGGGTAGTATCCTAATTTGGAGGCCATGTCACTTTTAAAATCTTCGTACTGGATGTCGTTAGAACCCATATAAAGAAGGTCTGTTGTAATTGTTCTGAAGGTTGTATCTGCAAGGCCATCTAGGACTGACTTCATAACCCCAGATGTCTGTTATGCAGAGTTGGAAAAAAATATGAAGCAGTCCTGTCAGGGAGAAAACCAAACTTCAATAAATATATGCAAAGTTGGAAAAGACAAAAGAAATAATAAGCAACTTAACTGAGTAGTGCCATTAGCTCTACTTAATATTGAATCAGTTTCTCACATTTACAGCAGATGAATATTAATTAAGTTGCAGAATATGTAGAATATTTGTATATGCAGCGAAATGATTAAAAAATTAGGGCAGAAATACTGGAATGCACATTTGTTTTAATTAAATCATTCTAATACTGTTGTGTATGTTTAAAAATGTTTTCCCCCAATTCTATTTCACAAGCCAATGATCTCTCCTTTTTAAAATACAATTACACCAATGTCTGCTGCAGAATACTGAAACAAGGACAGGTTTTCAATTGCATACTTCCCATATGGAAAGTGTACAGCTGTTGATAGTGGCTGGGATCAAGAGATACACTTGCATCTATTGTCCAGTTTCACTACACATGTGATAAGCTGTTTTCAGAAAGCTTAAAATGGTCTATGTGGTTCAGATCATTTTACTGAATGTCACATAGGGATTGTTGTCCAATGATTGTCACTGGGATACTACCAGATCCAATCACAATCACAGGATGCCACAATATTATTGAAAAAGAAAAAATACAAATGAAACCTATTATTCATGTATCATTGTGGCAGAAATCCAATCAATTTGATAAAAACTCTTTCAGTTACACAAGTCAAATTTTATGAACACTTTCAGCATGAAAGTTAAGTCTTTGTCCAACTTGGATCACTATGTTCAGACTTAAAATAAATAAATTCAGGGTTGCTGGATATTATTAATTCTCAACTATTCACCTCATACAGAATCTGATCTGAAAATATATAACATTTTTAAAGCAAATCTAAATATGCAAACCTAGTGAAAAAATATGTTCATTCCACATAATACTTTGTACAATAAATAGGAAGAGAAGATGACTCCACGGTTAAAAACTGGTTGGGAAGAGCTACTTCAGACCACACAGAAGCACAACATTTTTCTCCTATTCATTATATAAATCTGATTTTTTTTTCCAGCCTTCTCCATGAAATTAAAAAAAAAAAAGTTGCTTTTTAAAAGGAAGCCATTCATTAAAGGGTCTTAAAGGAATGGCACCTTTTCTCAGGGGTGTGTCAGCATTCAGGGAGCATATTAATCCTCATGATCTAGACCAGAGGTTGAGAACTGACTGTACCTTGGCACATCCTTGTTATGCCCTGACTTAATTTCTTTTAACTGATTCTTTTAATTAAACAATATGGGAAGCAGGCATGCTGAAAAATAAAATCCTGCCCTCTAGCATGTTTTTTTATTTACAAGAATGTCTCTTGGCTCTACATGAGCCCCATACTTTTTCTTAGAAAATAAAAGTAATGGGTGGCAATGTTTTTTACACATCTATTCAAATAGTTCTCTGCATAAATTATCCTATTATTTAAAACCAGAAGGGATTGTATAGATTTATCTATCTATTAAATCCTTTCAATTTGTTTTTCTGAACCAGTGATTGTTTCTAAGATTACCTTATAGAACGTAACTTAAATATCACAAAGTGCCAGTTTTGGAAAAGACCCTTTCCTCAAAGCCAAGAAGGTGCAAGGAGAAAACAGAAGGGCTAAATTAGATGGCTCCTGCTGCTCCAGTAATGATTTCCTCCAATTTATTATTTGCATTTCTTTACATATAAAAGCCCTGGCCAACTGATACTATTTACTTTTTAAAAAACCTTCATATGTCAAGTATAAATACATTCAATGCCCTATCCAAACATAATACTCTTTCTCTCTCCCCCTCTCTCTAAGGAACTTAAATGAACTATCATTTATTTGTCTTCTGCAAGACTTAATGGAAGGCATACAAAACTTTAATAAAAAGGCTGCAGCCAGAAATCATCAAGCTGGTTCAAAATCATCAACCGGGTTCGCAGTTATATTATGTAATGGTCTGCTTAATCCTGGTTTGAGGAAACCAGAATTCTTAGGTTCACATATACTCAACTGTAAACCAGGATTTATTAACTATATATATCAACTTTAGAGTCATGCCTAAGCCACAACCAAACCAATCATCTTACAGTATAGCATGATGTGGGAATTCAACCAACATGTAAAAGTCAGATATCATATGCCCTTCAGTTCTTTTTTACCTCTGTTCCCATCTCATTTTTTCATCTCTTCAAGCTTTATCCTCCTTTAATAAACCTGTCTCTTACATTTCTGAGGCCATAGCTTCCTGTCTTATTTTTCCCTTTGGAACCCATATAATGCTTTTCTATTTTCAGCTGAAACGGCAATTTCTCTTATTAAAGCTGTAGTTCAAACTTTGCTACATTTACCTGTCACATGGCATAAATTAAATATCACCTAGCAGCAAAAACATATTTTTAATCAATTGAAATAATAATTGATTTCAAGGAGAATTTTTAAAAATCAGGATAAAAAGTAGGTGTTAACAATGCACAAGAGAAAAGAAAACTCTGTTTATACTATTAGAATATGTTTAGTTATGTAAAATCATTATATAAATAACTATTAATATTATTATACTAATGGTTGTTTTATTTCACCCATATCATATTGCTGCTTTTTGTATTATTGCAATAATTTTATTTAATTACATTTTAAAGAGAAAAGCTTCTCATAGCTTTGTTTCTTGAGAAACACCACCACCACCATTCCAGCTCAGTGACTAGATTTTACATATAACTGGAATCACCATCAGTCTAATGTGGATCTGAGTAAAATTTAAAATATGTTTACAACACAGAAACTTGGTAATGTAAGTGGAAGAAACTTCCCAATAAACTGACTTAAATATGTAATGGTGAATTTTTAGTTAAATTCTCAAAACTAATTTTATGAAACTTATAGCATACAATCACATTTAATTTCCTTAGAACATATAGTTAACTCTAAAATATGCCAATTATTGTAACAATATAAAGAAATCCTTAACAAAAAAGCAATGTAAGTCATTATGTTAAAAAATGGAAAATCTCAGAGTTGTATATAATGAAAAGAACATTTTCTGTAAGATGTTCTCAATTAGCCCTATAACATTTATAAAGGTGACTATATATATAAATATTTTATTAATTGCACTTCATTCCATATTTTTATGAAGCTAAACAATTCAGTGACAAAGCTGCAATGAATAGTGTGCCAACCAACTCTTCCTTACAACTTTTCCTATTTTAAAAGTGCAGAAAAATATCCAGACAGTATCTTGGTTTAAAATATATGCATATACAAACACACACACGCACAGATTTTAAAAATCTATAAATTGCTGCTTCATATGCATTTACTATACAAGTACCTTGGTCAACCGTATTGTGACAAGCAAATCCTACCACGTATTTCAATGTCCCATTTCTCCCATATTTTACATTTAGATTATCACAGTAATTTTGAAGTTGCTGTATTTTGTAAATTCAAATTTCTTTTAGAATACAAGGGAGCTCATTAGTAATAGAGTTTAGTCTTTTGGGAATGCAGCTGGATTCTCTTCTGTTTGTTTCTTTGTTTGCTTTTGAGAATATAATAATTGCAAATCACAGGCAATATGTAGTTGCACCTATTAAAACAGTGAAAACTACATTAAAGTTAAACCAAAACAAGTAATTCAATTCCCACTGAAATCTATTTTCTTGGAATTTATTTGTATAAATTAAGTATATATACCATGCCAACTATCAGTGAAAATATTTGAAGTTTGATGATTAACTGTACAAGATGGCAAAAATTCTGAAGCTCTAAATATACTTTTTAAAAAGTTGCATAGGACAATGCTTTTCCTAGTCCTATACCCATGTAATGAAAATCTACAGATTGGATAAGAATAAACAGGAAAGCCAAATACAGTATAAATTTGTTGTTTCAACAATTCAAAACAAACCCACAAACACATCTTCAAAGAATTAAAAAAAAAAAAAAAAAGGAAGGAGAAGGAGATTGGATCCAGAAGTGCTGTTATGTGAATAGAAAGACTCCTCTATAGGACCTCCGGGGAAGAAATGGCAGATTGAAGACGGCCCGTGCTTTGCAGAGCCAACGACTGTGGAGAAAGAGAGGATGTGAGATTGCCATGTTGTGTTCCATATGGTTGCTCCTCATGAGGGGACTGCAAGGCAGAGGTCTCTGGAGGGTGGGAAAACCAGGAGACAAGGGAATTTGCCATTTTGCTCCAGCTGCAGTTGGAACCTTCAAATGACACTAAGTTCGCACTTACTTTGGTAATCACCTTCAGAAACTGCTTATTAACTGCTTTAAAGAAGTTAGACACCTTCAAAATGACAAAGGTGGAAACACTCGGTAAATGTCTTCAATCCTTAATATATGAAAATGAAACGGTATCTTTATAAGCTTTAAGAATTCAAAATAAACAGCAAAAAGCAAGACAAAGTTATAGCTATAGAAAGTTTTAAATGGATTAAAGGCTCAGAAAAAGTTGGAATATTTGATTTTGAATATTAAGACCTTGAAATTAATTTTAAAGAATAAATGCATTTTTGTGGGAAAGAAAAATTATTTTCGATATTGGAGACATAACAACTTATAATGACCTTCAGAGATATTGTTGAGGAATGGTAACAGGACTTTGAATCAACAATGTCAGCTATGTTGTGTGTTTTTAGGAACACCTTGTTCCCAGAAGAAGCTGTTACACCAGAAGATACTGTTAAAGAAAAAGATTTGGAACAAAACTTATCTGACATGATTATGGAAAACAACATGAACAAGAATTTATCACTGGATATACCAAAAAAAATAAATAAATCAAATTTAAAATTTAAGAAGGAAATAAAAATGCCAATTCAAGAGAGTAATTGGAATAATTTTTTCCTGCTGGACTTACAAAAGAGGTTTGTTAAAGTTTTGAAGAAATTTGAGAGAAGGGATAATGATCATTTGAATGGATTAAAGAGGAAGATTGTTTTATGTAAATGGAACATAAAGTTGGCTTATTTGATCAGGGTTAAAATGGGATACTTTGT